TGTTTAGTCATGCTGGCCACATGACTAAACACCGAAGTGCACGGAACGCTGTTACCTGCCCACCAAAGTGGTACCTTTTTATCTACTTGCATTTGCATGCTTTCGAACTGCAAGGTTGGCAGGAGCTGGGACGGAGCAACGGGAACTCACCCCGTTGTGCAGATTCAAACCAGCGACTTTTGATCTACCAGCCCAGCAGCACAGCGGTTTAAACCACTGTTACTGTTAGCTCAGTTCCCATCAGATTATGTATAAGGTTGGAATTTATTTGCCCCAATATGCATCACTTTCCACTTGCTTATAATGATCCTTATTTGCTACTGTGATGCCTATTCTTGCAGCTTAGATTCTTTTAGAGCTCCCTGCAATCTTGTTTGTTTTAACCACTCTAAAGAATTAGATGATGTCAACAAGCATTGCCTCTTCAGTGCCTTAGATCTTGCTCTTGTGTCACAAGAGGAGCATACAACACAGCATCATCCTATGCCTCCTTAAAAATATTTATATACAGGAATTAATATAGGAGGTGCCAGTGACATAGTTAGTCTTCATAATATTACCAGTGCTTTTCCTTAGGGGCAGGCAATGCTCCTAAGAACATTTCTTATGGGTTCCTGGATAAACAAGTGTTTCCCAGAGCAGCACAATAAACAAATAAATACATAAATATGTAAAAACCCGAACCTCAACCCCCCCCCCCCATGGTAAAGCATGGGTGAGAAGAGATGCCATCAAGATGTCATATAAGCAGGTCAAACTATACGGACTTCACAGATACTGTTGCCTCCCATTCTCACACTTTTGATGGACAATTTCATTTCTGACCGACTATGATATACGTTATTAGCATTTACCTTTGCAGTGAGTTATGTTTGTTGATCCATCGTAGTCGGTGGTTGTGTTCCCAGGGCATGAAATGCAGTGATTTTGTCCAAATTCTACTTGGTATGTTCCAACTGGGCAGCGGATGCATCGATGTGTTGTAGTGTTGTAAAAATGACCAGGTGAGCACTGCACTGTAGAAGAGGGTAAGCCAGCAGTAGGTATAATAGCTTGGTAGGTTATGACATAATTCACTGTGGCCTTTCCACTGAAGTCATTTCTTCCATGACTTATTCTGCACACAGAAAAGTACACATACCCCACGTGCATACTCATTGCTGTGCGATAAATGCACAAGTCAGCATTACAAAGTATGTGTACTCAACCACAAAGAAGGAATTTACTATCTATGCATATGGAAAATAGACATATGTGAATTCATCATACAAGAAGGTGCATAAGGCTGAGGTATGTCTACACCTTCATAAAATAAAGTGATGTCCATATAAGAAATTCTGTATGGAAAGTGACCCTGAAGGTTAGTTGGTCTTGCTTGCCTCCAATTATTCCTTGCCTAGCAAGTACTTCTGGTCTATGTAGTTTAGTTTTTGTGCTTTATAATATGATCTGGGAAAAAAGCCTATTCTATTAGTTGCATGGTGTCACCTATTACAGCATATGGGATTAGATCTCTAACATCTCTGAGAAATTAATTCACCATGAAATAAAGCAAGCAAGCATGACGGCATATGTTTCTTGTGCATTCTTCTTATCTCTCTGTTGTTACCTTTGGTCTCACAATCCTGAAACAGTGTTGCACTGCTACGTTTTGTCATCAGGCCTCCTCCACAGGGAATACAAGATGTCCGACCTGGTTCAGGCTGATATGTTCCCAATGGACATGGAAGACAAGGCTTAAATCCATCAGAAGAATATTCACCAGGTGAGCACTGTCCTGGGGTGCAAGTGGCAAGAGGAAAGAACACTGCATTGATATTAGCCTAAGCCATGTAGTCCATGGCACTCTTATAACATACTGTCATCTCCATTAGTGGAAAGCCTCATTTACATTATGTGTGTACAAACCTGAAGTACATGAATTTAAAAATAAGAACTAACTTCCAGCTGGCATAATCTAGTACCATCATTTTGTTATAGACAATGCCAGATATAGTTGATTTGCTTCTAATTGCTGTTAGTTCTGGCCACTGAAATGCATCTGGCTCAGAAAGTTGCCTACTCTTGCAATAGGAAAAGAGTAGCTGCCATTCCACTACATTCAGATTCCTAAAGAGCTCTCATGTTTTCTTTTATACATTGCTAAGGGATTTATAATGCTATGTTACGCAAAAATCTAAACATAACTCATCACGTTGCACTATGCTGTGCATTTACTCATATCCAAATTAGCAAGCAGAAGGCCCCAAATGTGCCAATGTGAATAAGTGTTTAGACAGCTGAAAAGTCTCCTTTCAGGGCCAAACTGTATGTGATGTTATTTATATTCATTTTTGGTACAAATGAAAGCTTTCCTGAACAGCACCCATGCAAACAGTACACATGGGAAAGCTGATTTGGATCAGGAGCTCAGCTGAATGCAACCTCTCTCTCACTCCCTTCTGCACAAGCTATTTCTGAAAGAAAAATCTTGCACAAAAATCTAGGGGAGCTATGTACCAAATCCAACATGCTTCTGAATTAATCTGATGGTTCTAATTAAAGTAACAGAAATCAATGGTTTGGTTCAGTTAACTCAAAAGTCTATCACACACAGAGATTCCCACAAAAAGGGGTGGGGTAAGATACAAAACCTTATCTCTAAAAAATACTGAACAACAATAGCAGGACTTAACAGCTCTTCCTAGGCGTAAGCAGTTCCCATTACTACTCCCTTACATTGGTTGCCACCCTTGAGGCTACAGTCCCAGTAGTCTTGAGGCTACATAGCCTACAAAATCACAACAGAGCTCAGGTATAAACAGAGCTCAGCATATCCTGGTTCCTTCCCACCTCTTATGGTGTTCTGGGGAATGAGAGCCCTGAGTTTGCTTCCCAATATTCTTAATCAGCTCATTTCCTCTGCTCAGTCAAGGAATGAGAAATGAGCAATTCATTATATCACCAGTGGAGTAGTAGTTAAGAGGATGCGCCTGGGTGGTTTTGGGTTCTAGCCCGTTCAGCCATGGAGCCAGCTAGGTGACTTTGGACCAGTCACAGACTCTCAACTCAACCTACCTCACAGGGTTGTTGTTGTGGGGATCAGAGAGAAAGCAGCAGGGGGAGAATGATGCAAGTCACTCTGAGTTCTTTAAAAAAGGCAGGATATAAATCGTGTGTGTGCACATGTGTGTAGTCTTGGTGTACTGAATGCCCATGCCAAAGGAAAATGGGAGTGACAGGTGGGACTTCGCTGTATTATAGCCACCAGGAATTCCTTCATGCTTTGATATTATGTCTTCACTGGAATGGATTGATAACCAAATATTTCCAGAGATCTGTTACTGAATCAAGTTCACTGAGTGGAAAACCCACTCAAATCCCATTCATTGGCAGCAGTGCTTCATTTATTGCACCCCTGATAATCATTACACAGTCACAGCATCTTTGTCAACAGAAGAAGCTGTGTTGTGCACTATCCATTTTAACACAAACTAAAATGTAGATCATACTTTAAACAGCTTATATCACAGAAATAATTAAATCCAACCCATCTCTCGGGGCCCTTAAGATCATCTCTCATCTTGAATTGCTTTGCTGCTCACATACCACAAAGACAGAATCTCCTGCAACTGGTTACGTACGCGTATCTGTCCCCTGTGGATTCTTTACGCAAATCTCTAAGTAATCTGTCTTCCAAATTTGGAGCATGCTGATTGCAATGACAGGCCAAGTGATTAAACTGTTCTGCAAGACAGAGGATTATTGCTGCAGCTGTTTAGCTATGCTGTGAAGTTCTGTCCTTTTAAAGAGCTGTTAAAACTGTTAGTTTTGGTTTATAGTTCCAATAAATCACTTCTCTGAATAGCTGTTTTTGTTTGGGGGGGGGGGTAAATTGGTCTTGGCATCATTTCAAGTTATTTAAGTTTGCAGCAAACAAGGAATTAACTGGTCATGATCAGGGATGAGGAATTTTGCTTACAGCTGATGAACTGAATTTAACATGAAGCACAGACTTGGCTTATGAATAAAGAAGCAGTATGGAAGGAGCTGTATGGGCTCATTGCAGCATGCAAGGAAAAAATGGCATGCTAGATGCATAGATCATGGCACAAGTTGCACTATTTTTGCTCCAAGACTCTTCCCCAGCCACCACTTTTGATCTTGCAAATGACAAGTATTATATGAAAGCCTGAATGCTAATTCCTAGATACAGGGCTATTGTTCTGAATAATCCAGTTCAAGGTTGGGCAGTTTCCAGGGTTTGGAGGATGCCTCCCTCTCCCTCCTTCTTTCCCTCTCTGAAAACTGCCCCCCCCCACACACACACACACACAGAGAGAGAGAGAGAGAGAGAGAGAGAGAGAGAGAGAGAGAGAGAGAGAGAGAACCAGCGAGCTGCAGCAAATGCTACAAGAAGGACCACAGCACAGTGAATGCAACCCTGCATGTTTCAAACCCCACATCTATTGGACATGCATTTTTCCTCCAAAGAGTTATCAACAATCAGCTATGCTTTATCAAGAAAAATCATTCTGGCTTTCCTCTTCATAATGTCTATCTTTCTCACACTAGAAAAAGCTTGGGAGAAAGTAGTATTTTTAAAGAGACAGGTTATATCATTGGCGACTTCGTGTGGCAAAACATTTCTTGGGTCTGTTCCATTTTAGAATGCAGATGGAGAATTGCACAGGTGAATACTGCTTCATGACAAAAGCATTATGGACGCTTTGGCATGTCCAGGACCACGGTTCTAGGTCCACCTTCCTTAGTCTTGACATACTATTTTATAACAGTAATTTAAGATAATGTAATAACCATATGTGAACATAAGAACAAATTATAAGCTAAAAAGGCAGAATTTAATATTATTGTACCTGTTCAAACATTTAGAACCCAAGGATGTTTTGGTAACAGTAACTGCTTATTTCAAAGACAAGCACATATCTGTGAATTTTCAAAAAACTTAAATAAAAATGGCATTATATGAATTGTCTCTATTTAACAAGGGTTTTTAGTTCATCCATAACTGCTGTGCCCCAGATGCTCATTAACCAGCTTTTGACATAAGACACTAATTGATCTTTCCAGGGTCTGGCTATGTATATGTATGAGTATATATGTATGTATATCAGCAACCACAAGCATATACTAAACATAATTTCATTTTCTCAGTACTCCCTAGATATTCCTAATAGCAAAACTTTAGGGGAACCTGGTAGCAAATAGCCTGACATTGTACAAAAAGAAACTAAATTATTCAATCTTTATCCAAGAAGCTCTCAGCTGAGACTTATGCATCCCTTTCTAGCAATACCCATTTCTAACCAATACCTTGCCCAACCTCTATCATCTTTTTAACTCTACCAAATGTAACACTATCTTCTAGACATTTTCTTAACAGTTGGTTTCAGACATACATGCAGAGACCTGTTCTCCCCTGCAGAGGAAGGCAGGACGCGCTCCAACGGAGCAAAGCTCAGAGAACCCAGGTTCCATTTGAATGCCAGGAAGCATTTCCTGACAGTTAGGACCCCGAGGGTGTGGAATGGGCTTCCACAAGAGGTCGTTGAAGCCCCATCGGTGAAGGTGTTCAAAGATAGGCTGGACATGCACATGGTGGGCATGTCGTGAGCAGAGCCGGCTGGTGCCGGAGGTCAGACTAGATGGCCCGGGAGACCCCTTCTGACTCGCTCTGGTTCTATGTTTCTGCCCACCAACAAATCACCACTAATTCTCATTTGAAGTTCCATTTTTGAATCTATTAGAGGGATTCTTTCTAACAGTCCTCTTTTTTAATATAGATAATATGCTTAAAAGCATGTGCAAAACAAGGTATTATAAATTTTTCAAATTCTATTTTTCCATCAAGATTGATTTAAAAATTCTGTCTCAAAAGTTGGCAGCCTCCCTAAATTAATTATTCCCTTTAGCATGCCAATCTGAACTAAATCCCCTTTTTAAATTACTGAAAAATTTTGCACATTTCTAGTGCAAAAAATTAATAACAATAGCAAACCAGTGATGGCTGCACCAATATGCCACTCTTTGGACAGACTGTCACTTTTGAGATCAGATAGGATTCTCCACCAAAAAAGTAGAGAGAGAGACAGCACCTGTAAAAGGATTTGCACTTGCAGTGGGGAGAGGGGGCAAGTCAGTTTCTGCTGAAGGGCAGCTGTTGGATGACTGAGGGGGAAGGAGGCGGGAAGAACCCATGATGAGCCCAAGCCCAAGTGCCTTAAATACTGGTTGACCTGCTACCAGTCAGTGTTGACAGTGCTAAGGTAGGTGAACAAGTAGCCTGACTTAGTATAGTACAGGGCAACTTCCTATGTTTTTGAACTTTCCAAATACAGGTTCTAGAAGCCAATTTGCTGGCCTTATTTTATTTCTGGCTGCCAGCAAGGGTAGGGGGTCAGGCTTTGCAGTCCCACCTCCAAGGGTACAGAGCTTTGGAACTAGGACTCCCAATTATCCTCCATCCCACCCCAGACAATGCTGGGAGGCCGTAGGATTGCGTCTGTGGTCACTTAAAGTGTGGGAGGACAGCCATCAATGGTCTCCAGCCAAATAGGTCAATCTAGTGTTGCCAACTCCCTGCTTTCCAAGAATTTTGAAATGCTGAGCACAGGCATTTTTGCACACCAACAGCATTTAATGTTTGGCCTTGACATTTCACTTGTCTGGAGAGGAATGTCACACTGCCCTTTACTTACATGCTGTAGAATCATCTCAAGAGTGGCTAGCTGCAACGTTCCTGGACTTTGGCAGGATCTGCTATTCTGAATTAGTGAAAGCTTATAGGAAATGGCTATTCACAGGGTATTTTCCTCAGCCCCTAGTTTCCTTTAATTCTATGTTTCTCCCAAGAAGCAGCAAGAACCTAGCACTAAACAAATCTAAGAAAAAAGTACCATAAAGCAAAGATCACAACTGTGCAGGTAGACAAGAACTTTGCCTCTCTTCAGACAGATATTCCAAGGCAGCTTTCTAAAGCAGCAATGCAATCATCCTTTTTCTCTCCATATGCTTCAATGCAGACAACATTAGAAATGCATTAGGAATGCATTAGGAACAAATCTTCTCTCACAGCTGTAAGCATGACAGCGCCCACTACAAACATGCACATGCATGCAGTGCAGTTATGTAAGCACAGCAGAGCAATGTGAAAGAACAGTGTTTAAACTATCTAGCTATCTCTAGCCCTGCCATGCTTCCCAAAGCTAATGCTAAGGGCTACTGTCAAAATGCATGAAGGCAGGAAGGGCAACACCGGTTCATCTTTTCAGGGACTCAGTAGGGTGCAACATCCTCACCTCCACACTCAGATATATTGTGAGCTCCAGCTGTCTTTTGGCTTCCAGGATTCTGAGCATTTGGGCAAGGTTCACAAGTTATTTGACCTTCATTGTCTTGGTAAGTTCCATTAGGGCATAAAATGCAGCCTTCTTGTTCCCCATCATAATATGTTCCAACACTGCAGCTAGCTAGCAAGAAAAGACAAAACAGTCAGTCACTAAAGCAATGAATGTATTTTGTAAATTGGTGAAAATTAAGCAAGTTGAAGCCTTCATCTGTGTAAGGTGGTTTGTAATCTCTAATTGTAACAAAACAACAAACTGAATTGTAAGTAAAATTGTTATCTTTGCATATATGTTGATTTAATACAAGATTAACTCTGTACCCCTTGACATAATCAGTAGAGGTTAAGCCAGTAATTTGAAAATGGCAAGCTAACCCATGATTTGACTCAATCACTGATATATGAAGTTACAGTCCCCAGACAGAGCTGTAAAGACATCTACCTGCAACGACATGAACTTCCGTCAGACACAGCATATGCTGGGGGCATTTGAACCTAGTTCTAATCCTCCCTGGCAACAAGCCATCGTGGTTTGGCTGCTGTGCGAATAAGTCACAAGTGGACTCACCATAGGTTGCTGGTCCCCTCCCAGCCCTCAGTTCTCCAGGAATCCTGTGGGAGGAATGAGCGCACCCAAAGTTGTGCTATGAGCTATTTTGTGCTCATTGTGCCTTTTTCCCCTTTAAAACCTTTTTCCTTTGGAGTCTGCAAAACCTGGCTGTTAAGCTAGCTTTCACAATCCCCAATTTGCCAATTTGAAACAATTTGTTGTTTCAAAACATCCCAGTCATGCCTTTGGAAGGACTACCTGGCATTTAAAAATATAATGCTGTGGAGAAAATTATGCACATTTATTTTAAAATCTTCACATGTGAGCACATTTTCTCTCTCCGTGTGTGTGTGTGTGTGTGTGTGTGTGTGTGTGTGTGGTTGCATGACTATAATGTTTCACAGTAGCATGGAAAATAGCAAGAACTAAAGGCAAATCATCAACTCTTAAAATTAAGTAGCTACAACAGGTAAGCACTACTTATACTAGGATTGTACTAATTCCAACTGGATAATTATGTATCCCTCAAAACTACTGAACTGGAAGCGAGTCCTATAACTAGGACTTTGGAGGGGGCTTTTTACTTGTAATGTAGAAAAGTGGACTGTAATTCTCCCACAAATATTAGTGTAATCTTGAATGAAGTAGCATGTGGGCCCTAAAATCTTACAGCTCATATTTAAAGAATCATTCCTCCCCACCTACTTAAATTAAAGCTACATATTCCTGATCATTTTATGTAAAATAATGCTACATCTCCTACCAGATGACTGGATCCTAGTCAAAAAATCCTCAAAAGTTTCTTCCAATGTTGTTAAGTATACACCTATTCACCTTCATCTTGTTAACAGAGCCTCCTATGTAAAGTTCATTAGTTTAGACACATTACAAATGCTCCTGGCCTATTTGGAAGAATTTAAGTTCTAAGCTTGCCTGTGGTAAGTCATCCTCTTTGATGCAGTGAGCCCCTCTAAGACTTTTGTAAAAGTAAGAGAGATGCAAATGATTCTTCTATGTGGGGGAAGCTAAGCAAAATGTCAGAACATCAACATTTCTGTACACATATTAATTTCAAAATGTCACTGAAAAATGTAATCATCTTGCAGGATGTAACACAAGGTGAGCCAGTGTACAATAGATACTTGCTTTTAAAACAAAGACAAAAACATGGAAATAATGCAACTACATTCAGCAACTGCGAGGATTCAGCAAGCTTTCTTTGCTTGTTTTCCTGCAACTTGCTTGTTTTCCTTCAAGTGAAGTAAAGAAGTAATTGTCTTCAATAGACTTCATTCCTGAAACCACCTTCTTTGTTTCTCTTCAACTTCTATTAAAAACGTATTCCTAACTCACAGCTGTTTTTCTTTTTGGGGGAGCAAGAGAAAGGAAAGCTATTCTGATGCAAAGAGGGAATGGGGAAAGGGGCCTACAGGGAGCCAGGATTAGTAGTTATAAAGACATTTAAAGGCTCTTTTCTTCTATTCAACAATTTCAGCCTTTGAGTTTTTGATGCCATAGACAAACACTGTAGTGTCTCAGTAACTAAGGTGGTGAACCTCATAAAAGAGGTCGTGATCCACAACTAACTATTCCATTAAGAGCCATGCCCTGACTTCATAAGAAAAATCACAAAGAAACCCTGACAGAAACTTATTTCTAAGTGCTCTCTGTATTGTTTTAGGATCTTTTTGTTTTGCTTTTTACTGGTTCACAGGCTGTGGTCATATGGGAAAATTATGTGCATCGGAACTTAAGTCTATTATTCCTGAAACAGCAGAGTTGGTAGAGTAGCTAAGTATTGCTCTCTGGTCTGGAAAATGTATATTCACCCAATGAACCTCATTCACAATCATCTCATTAGAAAGAGGGAAAAAATCAAGATGTTTGGAATCAGCTATATATAAGAACTAGTAGGGACAACGTTTAAGACAAAGAGTTCTTTATGCGGCTTTTTCTTTTTAGAAAATAAGATCAGGACCACAATGGCAGTTTGTGTGCTTGCATTCAATGAAGAGTCACTTCATGCTGCTTACAATACACTTATACTGGCATGCTGATTTGTTTATTCAAAGCCACATTTGTGCATCACCATATGCATTAACAAACAACAAGGTTGTTGACACAGATGTCAAACATAAAAATTAAATACAGTCACTGAAAAATACCATCCTTACAACATCCTGAAATAGAAGAAAAACAGAATCTTTGAACATTAAAAATCTGGAGAAATGAAAGCTTTATCCTGTCTTACGCATGCACTTACCACAGAGAACAAAATGAGCTGGTTCACACAACACAGACAGAAGACTGTAAGTTATTTAAGCTGTGATGAACTGTGGCGCATGCTAGTAAATAAGCCAGGATGATCTGGCTGTATCATATAAACCAGGTTTATGAAGTAAGAAGTGGATACATGTCCATGAAGACAGAAAGATTAAAAGTCAAGAAGCACAAATGTTCAACACACCTGTGGATGATTATGGACAAGCACCCCCGCTTCGCATGCTGTATATCATGAGACACACAGTTTGGTTTGTTTCAGAAAAACCATAGTTAACAATGGCCATAATGTATTATTTCAGATTATATACCAAGCTATACAAAGACAGACGTAAAAGCTTTTAAACTCCTCCTCACAGTTGTAAATTCACATAGTTGTGTGAAATATAAACTGAGCCATAATGCACATGCAGCAAACATTTAATGCTTGAATCAGCCCTGGTACCCTGCTATTGGAACGTCTGGTCAAAACTGTATTGTAAAGAGTGGAGCAAATTGAAAATCCCTAAGGGTACAAAAGATGATTGTGGGATTACTCTCATCTGCTGGTTCATTTTGTAGACTTTGTCTTAAAGTGCATGTTAACAATTTCAATGTTGTGCAATACTTTCTGGTCAATGAGGTTATTGAACCTATTTTCTAAATAATCACATTTTAAATTGGCTACTTATTTAGTTATAAACAGGATAAGCAATATAAAACATTTGGTACACTGAGTGCTACGGAACTGACATAAAACAACAAGTTTATAATTGAGCTAAGTATAATTGATGGCAAACTACTAACAACATGGCAAAGTCCAAAGAAAATACTTTTGACATCAGATTCATTTGTAGTGGGAAAACTTGCCCCTTCTTGAAATAGGTATGATGGTGCTGTAAGTTAAACTTATTTTCTGATGCTACCAATTATTTGAGGCAAATCAGATGTTCACTGCATTACAAACAAGGAAGGTCAAATGCAGGTTATCTATGTATCAAATTAATGCATCAGATGAGCACTGTGCTTACCACATCCGTTATCCACATGCCTTTGTCCCAGGCCACAGAGTTCTTGTGTATCAAGTGCCCTGGGAGATTTCCTGGCAACATCATGATCCACACCAGCTAGGCGGATATGAAATTGCTCTTTGTTGATCACTTTCCGCAAGGTTCTAATGGCTTTACGAAGCTTCTTCTCAGTTCTTTTACGTGCACAGCTCAAATTACATGTGTCTAGAAAGTACAAGTTGTGGCAATCAGGAGCACAAAGTACTGATGTACAACTACTAGATTAAAAAGGATAATCAGTGCAATAACCAAGAATATAAACTGGTAATAAATATTATTCTAAGACAGTCTTCAAGCTACCCAAAGTAGATATAAATATAGGACAGTAAAGATACAGTCATAGCAGCTTTCTGACCATAGCAGAAATCAATATTAAAACAGGAGATACTTTTTTGCATAAAAGATGAAAGTGAAAGGTAGAGAAATCAAGGAGCAATCTTCAACAAAACTCTCAGAAATGGAACCTTTCCGTTGTTTTGTAGTGTCTTTTCCAACCAACCTGTCACCTCCTTTTGGTTTGTTTCAAGTTCAAAGTCAGTAGATATAAACATTTCTCTAGCAGCCTTCAATCCGCTGAGGTCTCCAAGAACTTTCTTGCCAGAACTGCATGTTAGGTTTACATAGTAGAAGTTCTCCATTATTGAATTATGTTTCTCTGTGTGAACAAAATAAAGGAAGCAAGAGCTTGGCCATCTATACTATCGGGCATTTGCTACAGCTTGATAAACATTGCTGAGAAAATGGTTATGAGATGGTATGATTAATTCCGTATGCTAAGCAATTGCAGTGACATACCACTACAGAGCATACTCTCAAATCTGTACAATAACTCTAAGGTAGGATCATGTCAAGTGTGCAACATAAAAAACACTGCTGAGATTTTATCACAGCTAAAATCAGTTTGTTTAAAATGAACTATTCTTTTCCTTAAATGACTAAGACAAAGGTCTACCCTATTAAACAATGGTGTAATGGTCAATTTTCAAGGGCAAGACAGTTCCCCAAGGCCACACTGCAGAGTAAAAAAATATGATGCACTGAGATAAAAAGTAATTAGGTCTTAGTTGCCCATTCTGGATACTTTGCTTTACAACAGGAACAGCTCAAAGCACAGTAATGGTGCTGGGAAAATTCACATCTCCTCTTGCTATTGTGTAGATTACAGCTAAAATCAGAAGGAAAGGAAAATCTGAGAGAAGTGGTAGACTATGTCATTGTTACAACCCATAAAAAAAATCTGCACTTTGACCTTGAAAGTCCAGGCTGCACTATACCACTGCAGTGAACATTACTACTTAACATAATTAAACTACAGAATTCAGTTCTATAGGATGTGAAAGCACTTGACCTGGATGTCTTTAAAAGGGGATTAGACCACTTCTTGGTGGATAAACCAATCAATCAATGCATTGCCTCAAAGTATCAGAGGTCTCTGTATACAAGTTGCTGGGAACATGAGCAGCTGGCTGTCCATAGCAAGAACAAGCTTACAACCCGGGTACGGTACTGAATCTGCCTTGGTCGCCCTGTATGATGACCTGTGCAGGGAGAAGGACAGGGGGAGTGCGTCCCTGTTGGTTCTGCTGGACCTCTCAGCGGCTTTCGATACCATCGACCATGGTATCCTTCTGGATAGGCTTGCGGGATTGGGGGTTGGAGGCACTGCTTTGCAGTGGTTCCGCTCCTATCTCAATGGCCGGTTCCAGAAGGTGGTGCTGGGGGACTATGGCTCTGCGCCATGGCAGCTATGCCATGGAGTACCGCAGGGGTCCATTTTGTCCCCTTTGCTGTTCAACATATACATGAAACCGCTGGGAGAGGTCATCAGGAGGTGTGGGCTGCGGAACCATCAGTACGCTGATGATACCCAGCTCTACCTCTCGTTTTCCACCAATCCAGGTGAGGCAGTGGCTGTGCTGAACCGGTGCCTGGCCGAGGTAATGGGCTGGATGAGGGCCAATAAACTGAAGCTCAATCCAGACAAGACGGAGGTCCTGTTGGTTGGTGGATCGAGCTTCGGAGAGGGTGAATTGAACCTTGTCCTGAATGGGGTTGCACTCCCTCTTAGGGACAAGGTTCGCAGCTTGGGAGTGCTCCTCGACCCAGAGCTTTCACTGGAAGCTCAGGTAACAGCAGTGGCGAGGAGCGCTTTCCTCCAGCTTCGGCTAATTCATCAGCTGCGCCCCTATCTGGAGAATGACTGCCTTGCGACAGTGACACATGCGTTGGTGACTTCCCGTCTGGACTTCTGTAACGCGCTCTACGTGGGGCTACCCTTGAAGATGGTCCGGATACTTCAATTGGTCCAAAATAGAGCTGCCAGGCTGCTGACAGGGACTGGACGTTATGTTCACATGACTCCGGTTCTCCGTCAGCTTCACTGGCTTCCCATTGAAGTCCGGGCCCAATTCAAGGTGTTGGTAATGACCTATAAAGCCCTAAACGGCTTGGGTCCTGGTTACCTGAAGGAGCGCTTACATCCTTATATGCCCAGCCGCCCCCTGAGATCGGCGGGAGAGGCCCTTCTCCGGGAGCCCTCCATGGAAGAAGTTAGGAGGGTGGTTACTCGGAGGAGGGCTTTCTCAGCGGTGGCGCCTAAGTTATGGAATGCGCTCCCCAGAGAGGTCCGCCTGGCGCCGTCGTTATTTGTTTTTCGGCGCCAGGCGAAGACCTTTTTATTTAAGCAGTATTTTAAATGTTAATATTATTGAATTTTATTTGGCCAGGGCGGCTTGTTTTATAGTGTATGTTTTATATTATATATTTGTATTTTATTGTATATATTTTAAAATGTTATTTTAATCTTTTTGTTGTAAGCCGCCCCGAGGCTTCGGCGAATGGGGCGGCATAAAAATGTTTTAATAAATAAATAAATAATAAAATAAACAAAATGCTGGGCTAGGTAAGGCCTTTGGTCTGATCCAGCAAGGATCTTCTTAAGTTCTCAAAACTTCAGATCTTTACAAGCTACCATAATCATAGCCACCTGCATACTAAATTCTCCATGGCTGCAGTTCAAGGATTCATACGTATAATTCATTTGTATCAAGATTTAAATGTATTCAGGTGGCTCAAGGCTTGTGGTGCAGTGTCATGCAGCTGCATACAAGTATTAGTATGCATTACTTGTACAAGTAATGGTCAGTGCAGACATTTAGCATGTCATTCACAAGTACACAAATCTGGAAACCTGTACTGTATTAACCACAAATGGGGCTTCAGCTGTGGACCACCCTTCGAGAAATATTCAGTGTATAGCCTATATGTAAGGATCACATTATCTCTTGTCCCTGAAAAGAAGGAAATTTCCTTGTCCTCAGTTTTTCTCTTAATTGCCCTCTGAGTTACAGTGATGTGTGCAACTTTTTCAGGGTCAGGGGATATGCTGCGTTCAATAACCTAGGGTGACAAGAGAAATGGGAGTGTCCAGAGCATTCCCACAAACTCTCTCCATTTCATAATTAAATTTCTGTTCACAGAGACACTGCAGTGTAATCCCTCCATCATACAAACCAATCAGGCAATGCAATTTTCATATTCCAAGTTGGTTTATGCCACTCGTAGTCATTTCACTGCTCTACTGCTATGTTTTTCTCTTACTTTTACTGCCAAAATACTGCCTCTCTTTGCTTTATGGTGGCGGTGGCAGCCACAGTCCAAACTAACATCAGAGAGCACAGATAGTCTGGGTTCACCACACGACAGCCCATGATGACTTATGAGCCACAGTGGTTTGTTTCATTCATTCATTCATTCATTCATTCATTCATTCATATGCAGTGGTCCCTTGGCTCATGAACTTAATCCATTCCAGGACTCTGGTCATGACCCAAATTGGTCATGAGCCAAGTTAAATTTCTCCATAAGGTTCAATATAAATAAGATTAATTCATTCTGTAACTAATTTTTTTATCAGAAAAATGTGAAGTGACGAAGAACAACAAAGATCGCGGCCATCTCCCCCCCACACCCTGAGAACGGCCATCTCCCCGCCCCCCCCCCCAGCACAACCACGATTGGGCCCATCATCCCTGTATGTGCCCATCATCCCAGCACACTGGTGGTGGGGGAAGAGACGGGCGCAAATGTGGGCGTGCTGGGGGGGGGAGACGGGTGCAAACGTGGGCACAATCACGGGTGCAGGAAAGAAGGGCACAATCACGGGTGCACTCCTGCAGGAAAGAAATTCCTGTTCGTGACCCAATTCAGTCATGAATGAGGCATTCGTGAGCTGAGCTACCACTGAATTTATAGGCCACCTATAACTGCCAAAAGGCCTTCCTATGTGGCTTATACCATATTAAACACATACATGCATAAGAACACATTAAAACCTTATGTGAACTTACAATGGGTATGTCCAGGTGGTTTAACCTTGGGTTGACTTGTTGTATGATAGGCTGTCATGTTGTTTTGAGCCTATATGACACAATTCAACATGGGTCAACCCAAACCACCAGACAATATAGCAGGAAAAATGCTTTGATAGTAAGCAAATGTCTTAGTGGGCAACCACCAGTGCCAGCCCAAGCCCCACTTGGGAGCAACTAGCAGGTGCTTCCCTGCCTTTCCAGGGCTGCCACAAGCCCTTTTGGATTTACTGTGCCATTTTTCTCTTTAATTATTTTCCACGTGTCATGAAAGGTGGCTCTCACATCATCTTTCATAATCCCCATTTTGGCAGCCATGAACAGTCTGTCCAAGGTACGCCAGCAGCCCAGCATTTTTATTTAAAATAAAAACAGATAAATGTACAATTTTTTCTTTTAAATACTATGTATGCAAATAGGATTATTCTAAGTGCATGTGGAGGAATTTCAGGACACAGCTGAGGTGCCTCCTGCCAAAGGGCACACTGGTTAATTCCCCAACCGAGGCATGAAATCCATGCTTCCCTTACCCTTTGGTTTCACTTGATAGCTTGCTGAAGGCAACTAATCAAGATAAAAGTAAGCTGTGAGGGAGGTGCGATTTTGGACATACTCAGAGGTCCAGTGCTAATCCATCCAGTTCTCATGCAAAACTTCCTTTTTGAAGGGAGTTTTGAAAATCTCCTGTCAAACTGGGATTCTCTTTAAAGTGTGGGGAGTGTACTTTTTGCCTTTTCTGAGTCCCCAGAGGCGCCAAAGAAATGGAAAAATTTGCTCCCCAGCAAAGGACAAAGGGGTGAAATATAAAAACAAAAAAAATCTTGCTGAGAACGGTGTGTAAATGCCCCCAAACACCCATGAGACCTTCTTGTACAATTGGGTTACATGGAACAGAATTATTTTGTCTAGTCAAATTATTTGTGGTACATAATCATGACCAAAAAGCATGACTCCTCTTTGTAAAAGTTGTAGATCATAAAATTAAGGTATCTGGGACATTATGATCTACAGCAGTGGTGTGCAACTTCCAGAGTTATGAGGCCAATTTTGTCCTAGCATGGGCTGCTGTTTAAAAAGTACTGTGCAACACCTGGAAAAAATTAGATTGCTGGTTTTAAGCTAAGCTTAACCCTTTTGGGCCAAATTTAGCATGGAAATCTTAGGCCATTTGTGCATTCCACTGTCAAGAAAACGTGTTTCTAAGAATTTTTTTGGAAGGAGGATGATAAGGGAGTGGCAAGAGCCAGATGTAATTTATTACTGACCTGCAGTTTAACCAGTTTTAATCACAGATATTCATCCATACCTGGCATTATACGGTGAATCAGGGCATCTTGAAATATCTTACTCTTTTTCAAATTACATTTTCCATCATTAAACTTAAAGGTTACACTTGTCCTGATGGTAGAGAGATCTTTGGAAAGAAACAGTACAATGGTTACATGCGAATGCAGGAGGAATGTAAACACAATCACCAAGAAGGTAACTCAGGTGTTCTTCAAGCAACAGTTTATCATCCACATGTAAAAATTTAAATAAAACCAAGTGTCAATCTAAGAGAGCAATAGTATAAAATAAACGTGAAGCGACCAGCCATGGCAATCTATAAATACTATGGTGGAATGATGTCCTAGGATAAACTCCTTTTGGAGCAGTTGTGGAACTGGCAAATTGTACAGCAGCATCTCTCATCACCTAAATACCAACTACATAACTCACCTGAGTCAATTCTATAAGGAGCTACTTTACACTGAGTCTATACTAATCCTCTGCACACTGACAGCCCTGTCTGAGATCCCCATTTAATCAGCCTTCCCCAATAGATCTGGCATCTCCCTATGCAAAACTTGTTCTCTACCACTACTCTATGGACTCTCTCCAAGAATCTAGACAAGGCAGCCCCAGTTTGGCTCCCTGAAAAATTTGTGAGCTCCCACCTAAAGCATTCCTTTGAAATATTGTTTCTACAAAACAAAACCAGACAAACAAGAGCTCTAATGTTTCATCAAGTAACTGATCAAAGACCCTTGAATCAACTAAAAAGTTTCCTCTAATTAACTGGGAAGGATTATTAAAAGCAGATGTTAAATCTGAATAAAACTGCTTGCAACAGCCTTCCCCAACCTTCTTAAGTAGCACATTTAGATGGCACAACTCTCGTCATTCCTTTAGCCAGTGCAAGGTTGGGGAAAGTTTGCATACAAAGCCCATGGGTAGCAGAGCCATCTTAAAAGAAACATGTATCCTTCTTCTCACCAAGGAGCTGGGATGGTGCCGCCTGCTGGGACCCATGAAAGCATAAAGTTTAAAAATGGCGCTATTATATTTTAAATAATTATTTTATTAATAGCACATTTAGACAGATTAGTCCATTATTTGCCCAAGATTTCTCTAGCTGGCTGACAGTTTAAGAAATACAAAACCCAGCCCACAACCCAACTTGGAACCATGTATATCGGATAATTACCTAAAGTAGCTGACTCATTTGTATTTTGTTTTTTTTTCTTAAGTGGAGAAGGGTTGCCACATTTTATAGTGTATGAATCTTCCAAGCCTAAGAGACAGATCATAAAGCTATACAATAAAACAGAAACACATGCAAAAGAGCACTGATGAAATATACTCTTGAAATATACTCCTGGAAACTCACTCCAGTCTCTGTATCTCTCGAGGTTACAAAGACCTGAAAGACTGAAACAAGATCTGGAAGCTATGCTTTATTTAGAAAGAAGTTAAAGCCTCTCTTGTGCTAAATGGTGACAGTGATGGTGAAAGGCTCTCTGAGTGCTGCAAATGATCCAGAAGCAGATGTGAAATTGTGACCATTAGGCAAAACAGTAACAATTAAACTTCTCCTCCTCTAGATAACCATACCATTACCTCAGACACATCTAGATTCAGCCTCAATTGGCTACCCACCCTCCAGCAAGGTCCAAGTTTCTGAAGGATCTGTAGGTTTGTCCTGCCATCATGAGTGGCAGTTTTGGTGATGCTCTGGTCAATCTGTAGAACAGAGGGATGGCCTAGGAGATTAAGATGCCTGCTCCAAAGTGCCTTTCGCCATCTAGTAGAGCCTAGGAAGCTGCATGGTTTAGCATGGAGATAAATGTGTTAACACAGAAGATGACAATAGGATAGTGTAGAAAACCCATGATAAGCCTAATCGAACAGTCCATCTAAAATGGACTCTAACCAATTACCCGTTCCAGCAGGTTCACAGCTTGCGTGTCCTCCCATCTAGCTTTTCAGCTGTGCAGATGGTGCAGTGAAGATGAACGCTTTTCACAAGCTTTAGCTCATGTGCTAGCTGTTCCTGGGGAAGACAATCTACAGGCGACCGGACTAAAGATTCCAGAGAAGTTCTCTCAAGGTAGGGGCAGAAGATTATTTTGAGGCTCTGAAAAACCTGCCTTAACTATGTGTTGAGTTTTGAGATCCATCACTTGTTTCTCCTATTCAGATTAAAATCCCATCCAGAGAAGAATTTCCAGTTCCACCCACAGTTTTCTGCTATCCTTCTCTCACCAAAAACCCTCCTGAGAATCTTCCAACAGGATGCCAGAGCACAGAGACCCTGGGAGCTGTTCATTCTGTAATCGCAGAAGCCCACATTCTCTCAGGTAGCCTGAGAGAATAGACCTGTGTACAATATGCAAGCTGTTAACCACTGAGCCGCCACAGCCATGGGCAGAGTTGATAGCTATACCATAAAAAGAAGTCAAGGCTGACAACTAAAACCCGCCGCTTCCTATATTAAATAACCTATCAAGATTATACATGACTGTGCTATTTTACATTTCACTGGGTAGCACCAAATAATTTTTTGCAAGGAATGCTAATATAACTTTATGGAACAGGCAATAAATACTACTCAACATTACAAATATATCTGAATTTGATTTACTGAATATTTTTTTCAACATTTTACAAGAGTTATTACTTCTATATGCTTCATGTGGAATGAATAATAGTACTGTTGCTCTGTTCTGCATGACTTACCAGACATAAAGTGAACATCTGAGGGGCAGATTAAGAAACACCTATCACTTCCGCCAGTCTTAATGCAGTGCAGAGATACTTTAGGTAAAATGACATCAGACATGGATCTTTCTATAGGGCAAAACAAAGACACTCACAAGAGAAGAAAACTAAATGGCAGATACAGTTCCAAAATACAAATATGAAGCCCATGCAAGTTGCATAAAGCAGTATGAATCTGCATTAATATGAAGCTCGAAAAGACAAACACACCACATATCTTCTCTTTTTCCTGTTAAACCCTGACATTTGTTCCCACACAGACAACTACAAGAGGAAAGGCAGCCTTGGTTAAAAGCACAGGAAAGAAAGCATCAAAGAGCCGAAAGTATCTCCTGTTTTTTTGTTGTTGGTTGGTTTTTGGCCAGCTTCAATAGCCATGTTGGCCAATTAGAAGCAATGCAGTACTGTAGGCTGGAGACATACAAGATTTTTGCAGAGAACTGAACACAGTTTGAAAGACTAATAGTTGCTCCTGCTATGAAAGTTATCCCACTTTCAGGTTTAAGTAAGCAGGTTCTAAAGCTACCGTTTCAAAAACCAGGTCAGCCAAACAGAGTGGTGTGATAAAAGGAAAGTGCAAGGAATCTGCAACCCCTCCCAAGTGGCTTTCAGCTCTGCTAAAATGCATTGTTTGTCTTCAGCCCTAATGAGGGGCAATGCTGATCCACGCTGCATGGATCGATGCTGTCAGAATCCTTAGAGATGCACAGCCTTCAAGCAGGTCAAAGTTGCATACACTCTTTGAGCTCTGAATCTTACCAACACAGTCCTTTTTGTTCCAGTGCAGTTTGTGGCCAGCTTTACAATGGCACTGATAATCCCCCAATGTGTTTATGCAGGTATGCTGGCAGCCTCCATTGTTAATGCTACACTCATTGATATCTACAGAAGAAGAATGTGAGGAGGGGAAAAATCAGAATGTTACCATTCTGACTCTGGTCAACACAGAACTGCATATGCAAACCTATATACTGGATACTGAATACACTGAGAATCACATAAATGAGTTATGCAGTAAAGCAGGAATGCCAAATATAAGATGAATTAAATCCATCAATGTTGAGAAGAGCTGAATGGGGTTGTCATGGACATGCCATTTTGGAGGGCTTTCATTCATAAGGTTGCCATAAGTCAGAGAAGACTTGAAGGCACATAACAACAACAACAAAGCAGGAGCAGGTAACCAGTGGCCCTCAGATAGTCCCATCATCCCTCATCACTGGCTATGCTGGACAGAGCTGATGGGAGTTGTGTGCCAAAACTTCTGGAGGGTCACAAGTTTCTCACTTCTGCTATACAGAAAATTGCAAAGATCGGTACTTTACCATAATCTTAAAAAGACACATTTACTCAAAAGCCCCAGAGATTCAACTTCACCTTGGGCCAAATATGTAAACTTTTCTCTGGAGCCCAGGCACCCTAAACATACTCAGCCAAAATCTAGCCTAGTTTACTTAGTAGAAACTTCACTGGTTTCAAGCTCAGAGCAGCAGGCTATTATACAGTAATATTAGATGCTTGTCAATCTCATCTTTCATTATTGACTCATTATTGGAGTTGACAGGGATGAATACCTGACTCATCCGAAGATCTAGGCTTTCCCCAAAGGAATATTTACAAGGACTGAACCCATCTTTTGGATGAACATAAAAATGGGTAAGGTAAGGGTTGGGGCAAATCTCTGTGCACGAACCAGCTTCCACTGCCTGTTTCATACCCTGCTCGTCTGTCTGTTCAACCTTCCTTTGTAGAACATGTACAGAGCATCCAAGCAGCTCCAGGATGGAGGCTGTCTCTTCTTGGGCAACATGTATCTAACATGTCCACAGTCAATTTCATAACTACAATACAGAGGGACAGACCCCATTTTTCCAAGATAAGAACGTAATTGTTTTAGCTCAGATTAGCACGCATTTTTCCTACTTTCTCAGCTGAAAAAGCCCTATCGAATAATTCATTTGTTGTAACATTAGATTAGCCTTAAAGACAACCAACGGATATTTTGCAGGCAGCCCTTCTCCAAAATTCAGCTCTTAATACTCAAATGTGGAATTCATCTGTTTGTTCTAATAGTTACAGCTGCTTTCCAATAAAAATAAGAGCACAGAGCTGCTTGACAGAAAGTATATTACATACATATCCAGACTGCTACGTCAAACTGGCTAAAATGGGAGAGAGGGAAGCAAACATCTGAAAAATGTGCAGCACTGGGTTTAAAACCCTATTTCCTACTGATGTTAAGATCAAGAAAGTAGCACTCCTGTAAGCACAGCAGCAATAGTTTTGTGTATACTCACCTCCACAATGTGTGAAGCCATAGAGTATGTATCCTTTGAGGCAAGTACACTCAAAAGTGCCTGCATGATTGATGCATATATGGTCACATGTCCTTTCGAACGAACATTCATCAATGTCTGCAGTTTTTAAAGGGATACTTTATTATTGTGCTCCATGTCAAGAAGACATTTATGAACTAGGAAAACTGGTGAAAAGCAAAAGCCTTTTAAAAAGCCACTGGATTTGTGTCACAAAGCAGTTAGTCTACCAAACACTGCAAACCAAAGAGTTGAAAGTGAACCCCTGTGATTTCTTAGACTGCTGAACAACAAATCATTCGTTATGGCAAGCAAAGCAGGTCAACACAATACTCAGTAGTATTGAAGCAATACTGCATTATTTTATTTTCGTCACCTGTTGTCTATTGACCCAACAATGCCTCCAGGTCTGGGTTCAATATCACTTGCAATCCTATGTTAAAGCACTGCCTATTGATGTAAACACCACTTTCTACTGAGAAGCAAAATGGATCTTCGCATCTCTGTCAGGTAAAGGATAACTGACAGGTAGCCAGCAAGTATATTCCAAAAATAGAAATGCCAGACCTTGAGGCTGTTTAGAAGTTATTTTTGCTAGCCTTCTTACCCTGCTAATAATTCAAGCAGGGAGGGGAGATGGGGCAGTTACACACTGGAAAATAAAGCAGGATAGTATCTATTCTAGTCATGTCATGAGAGCTGACTCACTCGAAAAGTCAATCATGCTGGGAGTGATCAGTGGAATAAGGAGAAGGGGCCACCTCAGCACCCAGTGGCTGGACCCCATGAAGAAAGACACTGGGATGGACAAGGCAGTCTTGAAGGAAGCAGTGCAAGACAGAGAAACACGGACAGCAATGATCTATAGAGTGGCCAAGGGTCAGGCATGACTGAATGGCTGATGACGACGAGGAGTCTCTATTACAGAACAAGTGCAAAACTAAATATTATACCAGGTGCATGTGAGGGCACTCTCACTATCCTTGTTCGAACTGGAAAGGCTCACATTTCTGATCTGAGATAGCAGGACAAGCAAGTGGGTGTTTTTGCCTCCTCAACAGCTCCTTCACATGTGGGAACTTAAACTCACAGATAAAGGGGGAAAGCTATGTTGGAAAGCATTTGGAAAACAGAAATGGCAACCAAGGGGGTGAGTTAAGCATCTCTCCTCCACCAATTCTCTGACTTCAACCACTTGGAATCATTTGTAAAAACAGCAGTCATTGAAAGATCTCAGTCACTGAACACACACACACACACAATAAGAACTCAAGATGATTTTTTTAATGAACGCATTACCAACAACTTTCACAGGACAGTTCAGTGCATGGGTAAACACCCTCTCGATCAGACAAGCAAATGATAAATGATGCAGCACTGTGCCAAAAAGTTTGGCACACAGCCACTTCAGAGAACAGAAATTAGATTCCAAAACACTATTTCTGGAATTGCTAAATACCTCATTATTGACTACATGTCCAAACTATTTCAAATGCATTTATTTTTATTGCTTCACCCTACACATACCTTGACAAGATTTTTCATCAGTTAATAATTTAAAGCCTTTTTTGCAGCTGCAGTCAAAACTACCAATAGTGTTTCTACAAAAGTGATCACATCCACCATTACTGGTTTGGCATTCATCAATATCTGTAGAAACAAATAAACAGCAAGTTACTTAAGCAGCTTGATTTTCTTCTCTTGACAGATCTCAAATATGTATGCATTCTAAATTTGGGAACTGCTAGACTACCATAAATATTCATGTATTGTACATTAAAGTGATTTAAATTTGTAGAAGGAAATCAACCAATTGCCCTTAATGTCCAAGAAACATCCTGTTCTTTCTTTATTTGCTCCCACTAGTCTCACACAAACAAAAGAATAGGATTCTTTTGAGAACAACTGCTCAGTCCCATCATAGATGCAAAAGCATTGCCTTTCTTGTACTCTACTAATCTTCCTTATAGCACTTTAGGTAAGTGATTTTTTTTTCTACCTTAGGTTCATATCTAACTCAGAAGTTGGCCGAAGGCAGTTCAGATCGACTGACGGACTACTGGCCAGTATCTGATGGACTCTGTAGTAGTACCTGCTGGATGCTGGAATTCTTCTACATGATACTGGATGTTTAGGGCCTTGGTTTGACTTATGAAAATGCTTACAAGCAAGAGAGTTTGCTCAGATTTGCTACACATCTCGTTTGATCTACTCTAAAGAAATCCAATGCTCTAGGCTTTGCAAATTTAACATGCATCAGTAGACCACAGTGATTCAGTCAAAATGATTTTAAGGTGCAATCCAATCCATGTCTAGATGAGAGAAGTCTACACAATTTTCAATATTCCTCAGCTTGCCATGCTAAGTATAAGGCCTTTTTTCTGTCTATACATGCATAGCACACAATGTTGGGCTGAAGTCAGCTCTCTACCTATTAAAACGGTAATTCCCGAACTGTATGACTGATCACACTAGAGGATGAGAAACCAATGAAAGGCTTCTACATGGCCACTCTCACAGTTAAATGTACCATACTGAAAAGTGGAATGCCATCAAGTCCTCTGATGTGGATCAAGGGGTGAAAGACCTCTTTGATTCCACAAGTCACAAACAAATTGCTTCCATCAGGAGTAAGCATCCAGGAACTCTTCAGATTTTTAGACTACAACTCCCATAATCCCTGGTGTACAGATCAGTTGGAGGGCCTAGGTTGCCTTTACCTGGTTTAGATCCATTTCAAAATATCTGGCAGAATTTCTTGGAATGGTATATGGACTAAGAATCATTAAATGGATTCCTCCCCTCGTATTACCTCTCCCTTTGCAACTCAACACCACAGTTGTTTATTTTCTCCTCCCTTTTCTTCCTTTTCAACTTTTGTTATATCTACTACCAAAATAGATACCTTTACACACACACACACACACACACACACACACACAATTCAATGTTGTTCTGTATATAGCTTGAAAGACACATGACTAATGACCTCAAGGAAGAGGAAGGAACTATGAAAAGAGGAGGCTTTTTAATACATACCCTGTATTGCCAATGTATAATTTGGAAGGAAGGATCCTTTTAGAAACATTTCAACAATACAGTTCAGTAAAAATAAAATCAGACTCTCATGAACTCAAGGTACCCACCCACAAAGGCGGCTGCCTGCTACATCTCTGAAAATATTGCTGGGCAGAGAGAAAGCAGATTTACCTGCTGTCAGAGAAGACATGCCCAGAACCAGCAATTCATGCAGAAATATGTAAGGTGAGCATCCTTAGAGGGCAAGGAGCTCGTCATTTTCATTTCCTATTTTTGGGTCTAGGAATTATTTTGTTTGTGGTGGGGATATGTACTGGCTATTCAAAATTTGGGAAACACCAGTTTAAACTTTTGGTGACTTTGGGTTACTTCAGTGGCTGTACAAACATTAGGTTGAAACTTGTCCAACATATTGCCTTCAAAGCAAATACTGTAACACAGAGAGGTGACACATGTTGGAAAACAAAAGTGGAAGATCCAACCAATTGCCATTTCTGGAACATGTTTACCATATGTTTTAAGTCAGTGTGACTCCCTTCGTACATGATAAAACAGGCCCTCGTGTTTCCCACAGCATATGAAGCAGCTGCTATCCCCTTCAAGAAAGTAATATTGCACAAATAAAACTTAAATGAATATGTACAGATGGGAATCTCTTAGTTCCAGTATCCTATTAGCAGCACAATAATATCTGTAGGTTAGGAAGGGAATTCATAAGATGGAACTGAATGCAAAAAAGCAAACTTCACTTTAGACACATATCCCACATTTGAATGTGACCATTACAGGGTTCACAGCCTGTTCCCAGGTTGTTTTTCCTTAATCATTTAGAACAGTATGATGTTCTTTGGGATGCTATGGAAAAATCACTTGCAGACAGCAATTGCTGCATGTATGTTGCAATAAAGTCTAAGCTCTACCTTTGCATGTCTTTCCATCAAGCTGAAGGGTAAATCCAACAGGACAGCTGCAGTGAACACCTGTTGAAGTGTCTTTACAAGTACGATCACAGCCACCATTATTTACTGCACAGGTTTCTAAGGAAGAAAAATAAATTATGGCAAGGAAAACACTAAACAACAATTTAAAGGTAGTATGCAGTATTTGTTCCTATCCAACTGAATCACTTCCATTCTAAGTTGCCAATTTTAAATTCATAAATGAACATACCTTTGTTAGATGAAGTTCAACTGAAGCTTCAAAGATGTGGTACAGGCTATTGACTACAAATTATGCAAACCAAGTGAGACACATTTAAGTCTTTTTGTAAGAGATGGTTGCATGCTGTTTACTCAAGTGAAACTGGGTATTTGATCTAAGTACAGTGGTACCTTGGCTCATGCACTTAATCTGTTCCAGGACTCTGGTCGTGACCCAAATTGGTCATGAGCCAAGTCAAATTTCCCCATAAGGTTCAATGTAAAAAAAGGTTAATCTGTTCTGTAACTATTTTTTTAATCACAAAAATTTGAAGTAGTGACAAAGAACAACAAAGATCGCAGCCATCTCCCCCGCTATGCCGAGCATGAGCGCAGCCATCTCCCCCCACCCCAGCATGACCGCAATTGCGCCCTGGTTCCCTGCACGAGTGCAACCATGATTGCAGCCATAGACGAATGCGATCGCGGATGTGCTGGGGGGAGACGGGCAAGATCGTGATCGTTGCCCAATGTGGAGTTCGCGACCTGAGGCAAAAATTTTCAGAAATTTCTGTTTGTGACCCGATTTGGTCGTGAACTAAGACATTTGTGAGCCAAGAGAGTAAAGTGTTGGTAGATAAACATATCAGTCCCCTCCAAAGGATGTACTGATGCCATTCAGTGGCATGAGTATGAATGCTTATGGAAACCAAAAATGATAGTGTAAATTACAGCATTAGGAAATAGCATTTCAACACAGTCAGATTAGGATCGAGCCGTTTTTACCCATGAGCAGACGCCGTTTCACCCGTTTGTCTCCATCAGCTCCTGATGTGGTATTATTTTCAGGGATTTCAGTTGCATCCTCCTCTCTCTCTTTAGAATTGAAAAGGAAAAAAATGACTATTGGTCCACCAGGTGATCAAAGATAACTTCTAGGCTAGGGGTAGACAACCTGGTGCTCCCCTGATCTTTAAAATGGATACAGTTCCCATAAGCCCTCAGCACTGGTTATGCCAGCAGGATTTGATGCAAGTTGTAGTCAACAAATCTGGAAGGTACCAGGTTGCCCAGCCCTGATCCAAAGAAGAACATTTCGTATTTTTCCTGTAATGCAAAATGCAGTTCAGCCATATGCTAACATACAAGCATCTGTTTTGTATTATGGTGTACAAAAGGAGAGAGGCAAACCTCAAAGTGATGGTTGGTAGAAAATAACTTTTATTTGGGCACAATCAAAATGACTGTGTACTGAACCAGTTTTGACTAGAAATCTTCCTCAGGAGAAATGTGATACCCTTTCCTTAACAACATTGATTCTCTCAAGAGTTTACAAGCGTGGGATCTCTCAAACACACTCTACAGTTCTTAGTCTGCCAAGCACATGTTGAAGGCTGCCTGTTCTTCGGGGTTTTATTTTTAGTACTGCTCCCTCCCTTGCTCCCTGCTGCAATTTAGCTTTGTAACAAATTATACTGATAGTAAATCTGGCTCAATAGTATCAAGTATGACTGGTGGCAGTTCTCATATGCGTGTGAAAAATTATATTAATGCTCAGTGACCCGACTTATAGGATTACTGCAGTTTAAACAAGTTATGATGGCTTGTTGAAGCTGTGGTACATGCTGATACACGCCAGCTGTCTTCTGCCAAATTAGCTGCCCAACAATGGCTTGTTGTGTCATCCAAACCCTAGAAGCTGTTTGGTAGAAGAAAAAACAGCCCTCAAAAACTCATGGCCCATTATTTGAGGATTCTTTCACAAGCCGTGACACCTAGGTTTAGAAGACACAACAATCTGTACCCAGGCAGGAAATTATGCAGATAGGGCTGAGAGCATACCATTGCTTGTTTAAGTCATGGTGATCCAACAGGTCATTCTCGCTCTAATACATAAACTATAATTGATAAGCAGCAGATTTGAAATGCATAAATCATACCATGCATAATCTAGTGAAAGTTTTGATAGCCAGACAAAAGACCCACACCATAGATCCTTCAATTGAATATTCCGAGAACCAAATCTGCTGTGCTACATGTTCAGCCATTTTGCACTGTTACTGTGCTCATTCCATTCCTGCTCTGACTACCCAACACCATAGATTCACTGATGACCGGATGTATTCCACTTTTTTATCCTACCAAATATCCATTTTTATCCTGCCATAGAGTTCAGGGTGAAGTACATGAATACCTTTCATTTTATCCTCACAACTATCATGTGATGTAAATTATGCTGAGAGACAGTGACTAGCCCATATTATTCAAAGAGCTTCATGTGTGTAATCTTGGGAATCTGAACATGGTTTTCCCAGATTTTCCAACATTCCAGGCATCCTACCATACTGACTCCAGAGTTTGGAAGCTTAAGTAAGGACTGAACCAGTGAATGTTGGCATGCTGTTGGGTCCTTCCCAAGTGATCTGCCTCAATTTAACATTACCACAATATAGAATTGAACTAGAGAGAGTCACACCCCTCTCTAGTTAATAAACTTCTTCTCACATACACAAATGAATTTCAACATGGCACAAGAATGGTTTATTAAATATCCTATTGATAGCTGTAGTTCATAACCCAAAGGAAGTGCAGTTTGCTGGGTAGAAATGAACTACCTATCATGTATAAGGCTTAAAAAGTAACTTTGATCCTCTCTCCTTCCCTTAGGCTAGTGTGAAAACATTATTAATTCAGAAATGAATGCAAAAAAAGCAATCAGATTCTAGTATATTCTAGTCTGTGTTGTTTTAAGACCTGCATTACAAAATGGTTTAAGTGATCACTGGTTTAAGCATATTGTGTAAAAATTGTGTATGAATGACATACTTCTCAAAGCTACAAACTGTGCAAATTTGCACTGCAATAGGTATATTTGGCACTATTAAATATTTCCTCCAGACTCTCATTTACTACCAAAAATATTCTTAAAGAACATGTTAATGGAAACCAAAATAGGCATTTAAGTCATGCCAAGCTCTTACCTGGATTTGGTAGCATTATTACATTTGATAGATAGAGATAGATGCACATACATTCAAAATAAAATATAACATGAATCTGGTTAGGTATTTTGAGGAAAATAGTTCTGCTTTGTGGATATCAATAAAGAGCAGACAGACAGACAGACAGACAGGAGACTTTTATTGTGTGTTCATCATTCCTCATTCATGGTTGTTTATGGGTGGTTCAGACGATAGTGTGATTCTCCAGTTTAAATTGTGCTTTTAAGAGCTCTTTTGTGGTGTGGTGGAGGCAAAGCACTTTAGCATGGGGAAATCCAGCTTTTAAAAAAACCCTGAAACATAAGTCTCTACTAATATGATTGTATTATTTTGCTATATCACACCACTACCTAGAGGTTACATTGCACAAAATATGGAAATATAGGAAAATAAACCATTTTTGTTAAGAGCTCTGATCTCGATTCTACAATGAAACCAGAAGTAAATAGAGCAGGTTAACTGTCTCATGTGGAAAAGTTCATAGAGAGGTAATTAAATAGATATAAAAGCAGAATAACTTTCTCCTCCATGCATTCAGGGTTCTCTGGCCAGATTTCAAGATACACTTCTCAGTTAGAAAAGTACAATGTGGACCTTTGTCCAGCTTCAAGTGAAGTTCATTGAATCATATCACATGTCTCGAAATGGCTAAAAAGCCAGATTCTTGAAATTGTCACATTTTAATCTAACTGAAAAGAATTTAGTGCTTACATACCAAGGCAGGTTTTTCCATTAGAATGCACTGTATATTCTGGATGACACCCACATACAGGTCCATCATCTGCATCTTCGCAACTATGTTGGCAGCCGCCGTTTCCATGGCTGCAAGTCACTGAAAGGAAAACATAACTTCAGAGGCATCTACAAAGCCTATGGAAATTGCAGCTCAGAGCATCTGAATCTTGAATATTACTGCTTTACCTATAAGTTATTTTAATTTTTAAAAAAATCAGCTACCACACATGTACTTTGACATAGTTGCCAAACCAAAATTATTTATAGCCGAGGGGGGCAAATGGATTAGATAATTTTGTTCATGGGCATACTTGTTTTTAACAATTTCATTTCACTGCAATTAAATTAATTATGATTCATTACATTTTAATTGCTTCTGTTTCCATCGTGTATGATTGATGACACAATGAAAAGCAAATACCACATAATTCAACAAATAATACTTTTCAAATATTTGATTTAAGGGTAGCAGTTTTTCTTGGCTAAACAGCGTGGGCAACCAACCTACTTCTCTACATGTCTGCTCAAAAGTAGGTCCACTGAGCTCAATGACATTTATCACAGGCAAGTGGATATAGGATTGCAGCTTAATTTTCTGTCTCAAAAGTCACCTTGAAACACAAGGGGCAGCATCCAATGCTGCCATTCCATATATGCCACTAAGAAGCAGGGAAACCCACTGCACCAGCATACACTACTGACGTTGCACTAAAGGTCACTTATGCTAGCACTACATCAACGGCGTAAGAAGAGTGACAGTGCTGGGATATTGCCCAATACTTGGATTCAAAATTAAATTCAAGTAGCTACAGGTGTTATCTTTGGCACCAAAAGTCCACTCAAAAAGGTTATCTCTGATTAAGATAGTTAAAAAATATTCTGTCCACTTATTATCACTAACAAAGGATAGTATCCAACACCATTTCCTGCTGTGCCAATGGTAGGTCATGCTAATACATCAGAAACTACAGAAGTGGCCATGCAAAATACGGAAACTGTGGTGGGAGTACTGGATACAGCCTAAGGTCTTGCAGCACCTTAAAGACTACCAAATTTATGGTGGAATTTTCTTGTGCAGGCATGCTTCTACTTCATAAAAACGCACTTCTAACTTTAAAGTGCAACTTTAAAAGGGTCTCCACACTTCTCACAAGATTCATCAATGTTTTTGCTGTTAAGAGACCAAGGGCGAGACTACACAGAACTCACACTATGTAAGAGCAGCCCGGTGTTCCTCTTGGAGCTGGGATGCAGATGAGCCAGGGAAATATGCCTTTAAAGAAAGGCTTAACTAGAGATAAATATGTGATGAAAGGTGGCCAGCACTTGCGCCTTATGCATCAGGGTACACATAAATGTGAGAGATGGTGATCTCTTCTATCCAGAGTATCTTTTTTGGCCAGTAAGTAAGGGAGCCTTCAGAAATTCAAAATGCTGTACTGGGGTGTTCACATGTGGTAAGCAAAATGTATAGCCAAAAGCTTGGCTCCTATTCTAGGTCTAAACATTAATGAAATAACCATTCTATAACAAGATATATCAAACAAATAATTGCACCAAAATGATAATTTTGTATAAGGGCATTCTGAAATTCCATCAGTTTAATATGTTTAATTGAAAATGAATTTTAAATATCATCCTTGCCAAGGAAGCTCGCATTAACAATCAGCTACAGAAACACCAGAATTCTACTTGCTCTTTTGAGAAACCGTAAGTACGTGTAGAATGTTGCATACAAATACAGTCTCTCTGGTTTCTGGCCAGTTCAAATCCAGGTCTGCATTCACAGGCCACTCCTCCTTTTGGTGCTTCTTTGCAGATATGGGCACAGCCATGATCTTTATTCATGCAGCTCATGCCTTCTATAAAATAAAAGAGGGGAGTGAAGCATCAATGTCCTATGCAGGTGACACATTCAGATGTCCTCAATACAATCTATTTTATTTGAATCATAAAAACCATGAACAAATTCCAAAGAGCAAAATAAAGGCCTAATATGCAACATTACAGTCTAAGTTTTATATTCTTTTTTCCCAACAATTTCCAAGTTATTGTCTTTGCAAGAAATACATTTAGCACAGATTGGGGTGTGATCCAATTTTCTTGCCACAGAAGTCTTGTGAGATGGGCACAGCTGAGTTGTGGGTAAAAACAGGCAATTACATAAATATATAGATGTTTATGGCAACGGCTTCTGGCAAAAGATTGATTCAAATATTCTAAAAGCAAACTGCAGCCAACAGAGCTCAAGAACCTGAAAAAAGTCTACAAATCAACATGGTTTCCCAGAATTCAGACTCCATTTGAAACAGTGAACTGGGTAAGCAGAAAAGCCTGTTGCTGATCAGCACAAAAGCTTATTGTTTTTCTGCTGTTTCCCAAAGTTCTTACCACTTATCCTTTGGTTTAGTCTTAAATATGGGGACAAAGTCTGATCTTGTTTGCTTGTTTAAAAGCAAGGTGGGTTGCCATCCTGGTAGTCAAAAAGAGGAAAGAGTAGAGAATGTGTCTGAGAAAGAATGAGAATTACGCTACCCCAAGGTCATTACACTTTTTTGTTTTGAATGTATTGGAACTCAGGTCTCCCACCCAACATCTGACACTGCAAACCAACCATATGAAGGACTCCTGACTCTGCCAATCAGAAGACATAATGAAGATATTCTTTTTTTTTAATTCCCTTAAGGATTTTCTGTAGTAAGGAAAAGGACGGAACAGTGGTGGGAAAACATGTAAAAGATAGAAGTGGAAAATTACATTGTCTGAAACCCCCATAAGGTTCTGTGAATAAAACAGAGTCAGGGAAAATACTAAATATTTAAACACAGAATCATCACATAAACCATCTCATTTCTTTTATCAGACCCAACATGCCAATAAACTAATCTGATACATCTTCTGAATGTCTGAATCAGACCCAAGGAACTTGCCTAAGAGGGATTCAGCAGTCCACATAAAGATACTAAACACAACTTTTGCATGGACCATCAAAACCCCATTGCCTCTTTTCCACTAATCTGCCAGGTCAGAATATTCAGACAGCCAAATTCAGTCTGAAATTGTACCTAGCAGTGATCTTGAAGGAAACATGGTCTTGTTTTACCTTAACCTTGTGCTATCTTTTCTGTGTAGTTTTCCAGCTTCATATTGTATTTTTAGGGTGCCATTACTAAAAATTTAATTGAAGGCTTTCTACAGGTTCAAATATTAATTCTTATCCTGGCCAAACAAAATTAAGTGTGCCCAGAGAGTCCTGCTCGGGACTATTGGATGCAATTTGACAAATCAAATAATAAATACGTTCAGGGAAATCTGTTCTTATACTGAATAATGTCACATTAACTAACATTTTGTCCCTTTGGGACAACCTATAAAGGTCTTTAGTATTAGGTCTCTGACAGTTACAAGTTGTTCACACTTTCAGCAATGAATCAGCCTGCTAAAGTCTAGATCTGCCAAAATAATGCTGCCAAAAGTTGATGTCAACTAAACTATGAATAATCCATGGTTAACAGTAGAAAGTTTCCTTCTTTGACTGGGTTTAGGCTCGTATGTTTTCCACTACTCAGCAACAATCTCTACAGTACCTTGAAGATGTATTCACACACTTCTCTTTGATTTTTCCACTCTTTTAACTCTTAGAACTGCATGCAGATAGACTCCATTCAGCTACTTGGAGTATCTGGAGGAAGCAGTTTGCACCAGAGGATTATTTCGGCTTGTTACAGCACAGGGAGTGAATACTTATGCAAACTTCAAGTGCCAGTTTGTTTCTGTTTACTTAACTTTTGTACCACAATGAATATATTCCATGCCATCACTGTGTTGTAGATTAGGCGGACATCAAGTGGTAACAATGCCGATCAAATCCATTTCAATTTCAGGTTGTACTACAACAAAATGTGGAAAAGGCAAAGATGGACAAATACTTCCACAAAGCACTGTGGTCCTCCTTTGAGACTTTAAATTCCAAATCCTACTTTGATTAACTCAGACTTGCACAAAAGCACACATTTCACTAGCTTGTAAAAATAATATGGGTAACAACAGCAGCGCATTAATGGTTTTAAGTAAATTGAGAGATATTTTCACTGGCACAATCCCTCGCTTTGGGTCATAGCAAAACTTCTCAGACCGCCTTCTCTAAAAAAATAAAAAATAAAGGCCTCTGCCAAGAACTATACAAGCTTTTTATCCCTTCAGATCACCACCAGTGGTTTAAAAACCTTTTACGTTCAGGAAACCCTTTTTGCATCAACTTCCCTCGTGTTCGGAGTGAGAAAGATAGCTCCTTTGGGCACTGTTTCTCAAGGACTGCTGCCTGGGCTTCCAAAGAATCAGAATTGCAATGTGCAGCAGAACTGGGGAGAGTTTGGGAATGTGACCCATTCATTAAACCGCTCATAACAAGCTTTCCATCTTTCAATGAATTCTTTAACTGCTCTTCTATTAATATAGTTGGTTAGTTTTGCCTTTGTTGCATATTCAGCTAGTTTGTTTTTCCAGTCTTCCACAGCTGGACAGTCTTTGGGTTTCCACTCTGAAGCAATTGTTACTCTGGCTGCCGTTATCATGTATTTAAATTTAAATTTAAATTTAAATACATGATAACCTAAACTTGGTAAGAGTCTCTGGAATGATCCTCAATAACATAATCTTAGCATTCATAGGAAAGTCAATTTTAAGTATTTTCTGCATTGCCACATGTATCTTCTTCCAAAATCTTATGATTCTATCGCATGTCCAACACATATGGTAAAAGGTCCATGTACCTCTTTGTTTTCAACATCTCCTGCTGTAATTCTTGTCCATTTCTATCTTTCGCGGAAACATCCCACTGAAAGTACATCTTATACAAATTTTCTCTTAATGCTTCCCTGGCAGTAATTTAATATCCTTCATCCAGATGGCTTCCACTGACAGGATGATATTTCTTCTTCAAGATTCTATATCCAACCCTTCATGCATATTTTAACTTGTTCTGAGTGTCATACTAGAGCAACTGTTTGCAGAAGCGTCTTAGGAGATGGTCTTTTTGATGTTTGATTATCATTACAAAATCCATCAGATTTCTTACTGCACCTTTTCCTCTTTGAATTTTTTTAGTTTGAGGCCATTTGATGGTAGAGAAGCTATTTTACGAGCTTTGTATGTTTTTTCCTTCATCTTTTAATTCTTGCCAAAGTTTAATTCATCCTTGTTGATCAACCATGTCTCCATATGTTATAAAGATCATTATTTTTCCTTAATTATTTCCCTTGGTATGCCTCTACTGGAGACATTAAAGGCAAAATTGGAGGACTAATTCTTCTTCTCTGCCATTTAGTGTCAAAGCTTTCTGGTGGCTTCTTTAGCCCATAATTGTTTCTCTATTCTTCAAGATCTGCTACTTCCAGTTTCACTAGTCTTTCATTGCAGTTAAAAATCCAATCCATAATCCAAACTAGGCCAGCCACATAATAATATAACTTAATATTTTGTACTGAAATGCCTCCTCTCCTTTTTTCATCCTGTAGGACTTTAAATTTAATCCTTGGGTTTTTTCCATTCCAAATAAAACATTCGATTGTCTTTGCAAGTCTTGAAGTGTTCTTCCCTGCACTGAAATTGATAACATCTGAAAAAGAAAATTCAACTTGGGCAATACATTCATTTTTATTACAGAGGTTCTTCCCAGCCACGAAACCTTTAATTTAGACCATTTCTGTCTTTCAGATCTTTGTCCAGGTTGTTTTAACAATTATCTTGAAATAATGTATCATTATATCCAGTCACATTTACTCCTAAGTACTTAACTGAACTGAAGGTTATTTCACATCCTGAATTTTTTCCTCTTCTTGTTTCATTGCAAACTTCAATATGATGTTTGATTTCTTCTGGTTAATTTGGTAACCAGAGTAAAATCTAAAGTTTTCCATTTTATTTATTATATATGTATGGATAAATGTGGATTTAAAATAGCCAGCTCTGTCAGGCTGTCCAGTTGCATCTTCAACGTCTCTAGTATGGGAGAGCCCACAAGCTTCCTAGGTAACTGGTTCCATTGTTGTACTGCTCTAACAGTCAGGATGTTGTTTCTGATGTTCAGCCAGAATTTGGCTTCCTGTAACTTGAGTCCATTATTCAGTGTTCTGTATTCTGGGATGAGCATGACAAGATCTTGGCCTTCCTCTTTGTAAGAACCTTTCAAGTACTTGCAGGTTGCTATGAAATGAAGAAGGGCAAGATTCTGTCTCATATAGACACTTACAGATTTGATTTGCACATGGTGATGACCCAGAGTACTCAGAATATGAGCTGAGCATGGATTGTCGTTGAATCATGGGATGGTTTTATATACATACCCTGCACAACAGCTTAACTATCTCTTATCTAAATTGAGATAAGATGGAGGTGCTGTTGGTGAAGGGTTTGTTGGCCCAGAGTGGGGGCCTTCAACTTGTTATGGATGGGGTTGCACTCCCTCTGAAGAACAGGGTCCGTAGTTTGAGGGGGGGCGTGCTCTTGAACCCAAAACTATCACTTGAGTCTCAGGTAAACTCGGTGGCCAGGAGCACCTTCTTTCAGCTACGAATAATTCACCAACTTCAACCCTACCTGGACAGACAAAGCCTTGCCACAGTCATCCATGCTTTGGTAACCTCAACTGGACTACTGTAATGCACCTACCTGAAGGACCATCTGTTCACATATGTACCTACCCAACCCCTAAGATCAGGTTTGAAGGTCCTTCTGAAGGAGCCATACTCCAAGGAGGATGATAAACAGAAGACAGGTCTTCTCAGTGGTTATGCCCAACCTATGGAATAGCTTCCCACAGCCTGCCTCCAAAAAAGACTGTAATGAAGGCACCAGGCAAAAA